CACACACACACACACACACACACACACACACACACACACACACACACTCTCTCTCTCTCTAAAGCTGCTTTCTGCTGGGTCAGAGAGCGAGATGACTGGTGATCCCTCTCTCCCCTCTGCTTTAGGGGCCATGTCAGTCATTGCAGAGCTTCTATACTAAGGGGCTCCATTATGAGGATGAAGTGACAGGTCCAGTCACCACCGACAGCCCGCCTGCATGCTGACTGCGCTAACATTACGCAACAATGCAAACAAAAAGAAAAAGAAGAAGAAATAAAGCTCGACAAGCAGTAACCCCGAAACCTGTTGAGAGCAGCGCTGGTGGGGAGTCTTCATGCTGCCTGAAGATGAACAGTCTTTCAAATCTAAACTTGTGTGTGAACTCACAGGAGTAATGAGGAGTCACATATTTAGGTGCAGTGAACACAAACATGTACACAAATTAATTCACCCGTCAGTAATCCAGTTAAGCAGAAGCTCACGAGCGTGGTGTTGTGATTCTGTCACAGCTGAAGAGCTGTTGGACGACACACCTGTCGTGAGCTACACGACTATAACAGCGGTACACTGCTGTTTGTTTGGTCAAATCTTTGCACTATTGTTCAGTTAGTTTATTTTAATAAGATTCTATTCATATATATTGTGCAATTTTTAGATTTAATATGTTTTACTGTTATTTTTATTGCTTTACCTCCATCTATAAATGCTGTTGTAGCGAAAAAATGTCCCCTTGTGTGATTAATAAAGTCTGTCTGTCTGTGTTTGTGTCCGTCTGTGTGTCTGTCTCCTCCTGGGTTGCTGTGGAACGTACACTAGCAGCTCTCATATTTCTCTTGTCATCACAGCCAGCGCTACACTCATGTAATTATTTGGCTCTTTATTTACATAGTGATCTTAACTCTGTGACTGTCCTTCCTTCTCCATCTCTCTTAACATCAGTCCTCCTTCACGCCCTTCATGCTTCCATATTTATTTACTCTCACAGAGCCAAGGGGGGGGGGGGGCAAGCCAACCTGACCCACCCAGCAGAGACAAAACAGACTGTAACCAGAGAGAGAGAGAGAGAGAGAGAGAGAGAGAGAGAGAGAGAGAGAGAGAGAGAGAGAGAGAGAGAGAGAGAGACCTTTGAAGCATGCAGCACTCTGTGTGAATTAAAAACAGAAACAACTGAACAAGAGCTTGTATTTCTTGCTTAAAGATATCTTTAGAGCGGGACATCCCAGGGAATGCCTGTGTGTGTGTGTGTGTGTGTGCATGTCTGTGTGTGTGTGCGTGGACAGCTGAGCAACCAATGATTAATCAAAGTCTTGACATGAGGCTCTGTTTCTCGGTAGAGAGAGAGGACACTACTTGACGTCTGACAGCAGTACTTAATCTGTGCTCGTATATCGACTGTAATCGCTCTGAGGAACACCTTCTAGATTACAGAGCTGCAGTCAGAGAACATCTGTCCAGACTAACCCATCAACACACACAGAGAGAGGGTCCAGTCCCATCACAACACACAGAGAGAGGGTCCAGTCCCATCACAACACACAGAGAGAGGGTCCAGTCCCATCACAACACACAGAGAGAGGTTCCAGTCCCATCAATACACGGAGAGAGGGTCCAGTCCTCAAACGGGACACTTGTATCCGGAGTTAAAAACTAAACACAAGTGGCTGCAGACATTTTACACGATGTCACTGTGGACCCTGAGATGAGAATATGTCTACTTTATATTAAATCTGTTAAAACATTTCAAAATAAAATCCTATTGTCACAGCCTGAACAGAAACATTTTAATCCAGAACAATGGAACTAAAATGGATTATGGAAATGAAAACAAACTGGTGACAACATCGACTGCTCTGTTGTGTTTATGGGGCATATCACCAATATGCTGTATTTCAAAATAAAACGTGCAATAAGTGAAGAGATTGCAAAGTGAGTAAGGTTTGTTTTTGTTGTTTTGCTTTCGGCAGCTCCGTTTCCTTTACGTGGTCCAGTTGGTATCCAGAGATTATCCACTACCCAGATTGTATTAGAGGGATTATTCGGCCCCGGTGCCAAGACCTCTACTCTGTTAATGAGGACACGGAGAGAGCGGAGACAATAACACAGATGTACACGGTATACATCTACAAGTGTGTACTTTGAAAGCAGCGTACACAGAACACATATATTATTACTTCCTGACCCAGTGGCTGACAAAGTAAAGTAGAAAAAGGTCTCTCCTTTATTCTATTATCTATCGCTGATTAATGTGACACACAGCAGAAGAAATACATTTCACAACCACACACACACCTACAGACTTAAACCTAACACATTCAGATACATATGAGTTCAATGGTTGTTTGTACCACCATCAGCTATTCTTCTTCTTCTCTTCTACCTCCTCTCACTAGTACACACAATTAACCCTTCTGGGTCAGCGTATCAGCATCTCTGGTTACCACCTGCTTTCACACACACACACGGTTGCATATCAACAATACAGCAACTTAAACCAACGGGCCCCGTAGGCGCTTGTCCACAGCAGTGTCATGGCAAAGGGATTGTGAGTTAGTTTGGTCAACTCCCACTGAACAAGAGAACAAACCCACTACTATGAGGCTGTGTCATCATTCGTTTTAACTTAATGGAGCTCAGTTTCCTTTCATAGTTTGACATATTCATTACTAGTCATAGAGTTAAATAATAACGTTTTTTACTGAACATATGACTACAAGTGGAGGTTGTAGTTTATCGTGCTCATCAGAATTGCAGAGGGCCGTATTGTAATTAGGATAACATTTAGAAAGGTTGTGCAGCCTGTTTGTTTGTGTTCACACGCGTCCTGCTGTCGCTCCTTCTCTCCAGAACAACAAGTACGGGATTTCGGCACCGCCGGCCAACCAGGTCACTACCGAGCACATGGCCGACCAGCAGAGCAGGAACAACAAGCAGATCCCAGGAAACACAGCAAGCATTCATCCAAACCACCGACGGGGAAAACTATGAGGAGAATCTGTGCTGAGGGGCCTCAGCAGGCTGAGATGGTGTGTGTGTGTGTGTGTGTGCGTGTGTGTGTGTGTGGAAGAAGTTATTGTCCTTGGTGTAGACGACCCTTAACTACTACTACTTCTACTTTTAGACTCTAAAGTATTATAAAATAGAGTTCATTTCTCAGAGTCAGAGGTGATATCATCTTCTTTTGTCCCAATTAATAATCCAAAACCTAAAATATATCAGTTCACACTGATATAAAACAGGGAAAAGCAGAACATCTTTGCTGCTTTTGCAGGAAATGATATTCCTCAAACAACCCAATCAATCATGATTATGATGTTAATGAATTATTCCACTCCTCATTGAACAAGCCTCAGGTATTTGAGCCTCCGATCAGAGCCGGTTCATGGCTGAGGTTTTTAATGTTTGTGTCGTGTAAAGCTACGTTACTGTAAACGATACACAGAGCTTTCTCTGTTGCATTGAAGTCAGCTGTTCAGCAGCACAACCCCCGGAGCTGTTCAGCTTCTAATGTCCAGGACGCTTCAGCAGAGAGATTCATATGAAACATGAACTGTCCGTCTGCGTCGCTTCAGCTCCTGATCGTCTGTGAGACAAACATTTGTCGAAGCTAAAGCTACGTTACGATGGCACGAGTGTGTGTGTGTGTGTGTGTGTGAGAGAGAATCAGGAGTCAACTTGAGTCACACAGACTGTAACCAAAACAAAGAGCAGAATTAACATCACTTGACAGGTGTGGCACCTCAATTTAGCACAATTGTTGTCATGGTAAGGTGATGCATTCACTGTATGTGTGTGTGTGTGTGTGTGTACATCTGAGTGTAAACAGAGTGTGAAAACAGGCTGACACCTAATCCATGTAACTGTGAACGCACGCACGCACGCACGCACGCACGCACGCACGCACGCACGCACACACACATAATTAGCCTGTCTGCCGTGACATCTGAACAGTACGTATGCCGGGAGAGAAGAGGACATCTGGAGTACGATAAGATGCAGTTTGTCTGCATACTTAAAAAACAAACATTATTATTGACTAGTGCTGAAACAATTAGTAGAAAATATATTTGTTTGGAGCTGCAACGTTAGTCCATATACACACACATCTTTATGAAGTGAATGCATTAGTTGACATGCATGTTTGATAAGAACAAAGCACCAAGCTCACAGCAAGGTAGTGACATGTGTATACGGAGTATAAACGCAATGAAAGCCACTTCCATCATGTAGCCAGCACCGACTCTGTAGGCCGTCTACAGGAAGAACCCTGAGCCGATCAATCCGGGTCTCCTCCCAGCAGAGCACGACAGGGCTGGTTAGAGCGCTATAGATCAGAGACCCAGACGGTCCCGTGAGGACACCCCCTCATTAAGGGTCCATTACCACTGAAAGCACTTCCAACAACCTCCAACATATCAATGCTGCCATGAGAACACCTCTCACTTTTCATGTCAGCAAACTCCAGCAACAAAGATGAACACAGGTTGAACTGAATAATGGAACTATGGGGTTGACACTGGAGCTCATTGGAACTCCTCTGCTCACCTTTGTAGCATTGTTTGCTTGCCTCACAGTTAAGTTTTCCTCAAGACTTTTGTTTAAACGCAGAGGCACGAACCAATCACAGCCGGCCTACCTTGGGAAAGTACGCAGCGTTTTGTATCCTGTCAACCATCTCCTGACCCTCGGGGTGCACGGCCGCCACGTGGGACCACATCCTCTCCCACGTTACTCCTTCGATGGGGAACCCGGTCCTGTTGACGTAGAAAAGAACCCCTCCATCCTTCTCCTCCTCCTCCCCGGGGGACCGGGCGCTGTTGTTGGGGGGCGAGGCGGCGGACTCCTCCCGGGTGGTGCTGTAGCGGAGGAGGCAGTGTGAGCTGGAGCTCTTGGATCGGCCATGCCTGCTCAGCTTTGCCGGGGTGGTGCCGGTCCGGCTCGGGGAGTTGGGTCCGGTCATCGATCCCGGGAAGGGGGCCGGGTAGAGGAGGAGGAGTTAGGGCAAGCAATCCTCCCCCAGCTACAAGAGCTGCTTTGAGTTCGTCAGTGTCGGACAGCACATGTTGATCTTCAACTGCAAACCTGCAGGGTCAGATAAATCATAATCAAATCAGTGTTGGTGTGCAATGAAATGTGTCACACTTTAGGAAATAGGTCAACAGAACAGGTGAGTTTCTGCTGCACAAGTTATGTTTTATAAGAGTAGGTACACCCAGAGAAGGTCTGTTCCTCTCCTCTTTAGGAAGAGCAATGATGGAGTAACAACATGACAACAGTCGACCAGGACTGATATCTAGAGAAATCATTTATAGTAGGTGATACAATCTTATTTAATAACGTTAGGTTACATGTTTAAATCAACATTGGGTCACACAAGGAGCCTATTGTTCCAAACGTGTATCAAATATACGATAAAGTACAATAAAGTTATAATAAAACCAAACAAGATTCATGCAAACTCGTGATTCAGTGATGCTAAACACACACCGAACTTATTGCAGAGCAAACATGTGTTTAAAACTCACTAGCGAGTAACTTACCACAGTCACAAGTTAATATCGAAATCAGGAGGTTTCTAGTTCGAGTGCATCCGCTGAAATATCCCAACCGTTACTAATTCATCGCGTATTTTCCACCGTTGGATCCTATTTCAGATAAACGACGGACCTTCCGGTTCGAAGGGCTTTTTACTCGAAGAAGACCCAGCGAGACGAGGTGGGTCTCATTCATACCGAGGCGGTGGTGTCCGCTAACAGGATGAGAAGTCGTGTTTTGGTTCCAGGCTTTGTAACTTCACCCTCTTTCTTGTATGTGTCAAGCTAACAACAGCTAACAACGAGCGGGCAGGGACTACGGAAGTTTACCCTTCAAAGTAAAAGCAGTACGTTTTGTCGACCTTCCGTATTTATAGATAGATAGATACTTTATTAATGAATTAATACTTTATAAATGTGTTCGCTATAGCTGCATTGTGATACAGGTAAGCAATCAAAGTAACATAGTAAAAAATAAAAGATTTTGAGTTAAAAAATGCACAACATATACAATAAAAATAACAGAGTCAAAAATATTAAATGTAAAAAATGCACAATATATACAATGAAATAGAAAAATATTAAATTAACTAACTAAACAGTAGTGCAACGTTTAAATTGACTAACTAAACAGTTGTGCAAAGATTATTTTCATTTTTAAATAGAATAAACAGCACGAATCGTTGCAGCATACTAGCGAACCCGTCACTTCTTCGCATATGAGATATTTGCATGCGTCAGTAAATGTTTTATCCATTTAAATTCAAACAAACGATATATTTTCTGGTCGGAGTTTGTTTTTATTTTGAAAATATCCTCCGGAACAGCTTCTGTTTCGCTAGCTAGCTCACTGCAGGGGGCCGTTTCATCCCACTATTCCCAGTACGGGAAAAATGTACCTCCTCTGTGCATTCCTCTCCCAGTCAGCACCCGGCTCGGCTCCTCGGTGTCAATCTCCCCAGAAATCCCGACTTCATGTTGAAAACAAAAACCGGCTTCTTTGATCCCTCACATGATTAAATCATTGGGGATAAAAGCGGACCTACTCGCTACCCTAACGCTCTCCCCGAATCTCACCGCTGCTCGCATCTCATTGGTCGAGGCATCAAAGAGGGGCGGGCCGGAGAGAGAGTGCTCCGCCATGATTGGAGCTGACTGACGCTCTCTGATTGGTGGGTTTTGATAGACGAAGGCGTCAACAAGTGATGGATCTGCAACAAATGGGATTTTTCTGCCCCTTGTTTGCAACTGTTGATTTTGCACATTTTGTACAATTTCAGTTGCTTGACAAGGTTAGTTCTCAAAAATAGAATATAATTGAACAGAGCATAATATTATATATATATTTATTCTAACAGCAAAAGTTCATCCTCACAGAATCCAAACAAAATATCAGTTTTAATGAAAGTTAAAAATGTGGCTGTAGATAACTGACTATAGGCATACATCATATTACAGAGGAGGAAGGGGGTAATGTTCAGCACATTGCATTCAAAGCTATTATTAAAAAACTTACAAATCAATTAAAATATCTATTAATCATTGAACTACAACCCAACAGTATATACATCACAGTACATCACAATAATGTACCCACAGCAGCACGTTCATTGTATCACCGCATCATTTTTATATAACAACCAGCCATATGAATGTTGGACGTTCACATTGTGGTAGTAAATGAACTTACACCTCCCCCTTCTGGACAAAAAGCTTTTTCACAGCAAAGCAGAAAGAAAAAGGAGAACACCTGTTTGTGATGAAGTGCAGTTGTGCCTCCTGAATCCGAAACAATTAATGTTGCACACTAAATACCTGAGTTAGAGCGAATACTCTCAATGCAGAGCAACTAAAGCAGGCGGGAATGAAAGACTTCTGGCTGAATTCAACTCAACTCACTCTTGTAAATAAAAGCTGACTTCACAGCAGAATTATTTAGCTAAGTAACGATCAATGTAAAAAGCAACGCTATGGGTTATTTCTTTGGTTGGTTGATGGTGGCGTAGAGGTTGTTGTCATCAGCGGAGGGATGATTCACAGTGCTGTAGGTCACTGCATCCTCACCACCCCGAACCTAAAGAGGACACAGAAAGAAAAACAGAACAACGCGAAATTACTAAACAGGATATGGCACATGGTGAAAGATAAAGCCAGTTTAAAGCAGCATCCGACACCACATTCACACGACACAACGTTAACAAAGAAACACAATGTAAAGCAATGCAATGCACGAAAACTCACACGCAGCACAGAAAACACAGACTGCAGTTTAAACTGGCTGACATCACAGTTACACTTTATTTAAGGGTAAAATAGAGACTTTTTTTCTCAAACATGAACAATAAAACATATATTTTAAAGTATATTATGATGACAGCTCACCTGGGCTTTACTGTTGGTCCCGGGGTGGCTGATGGAGGCGTAGGAAACACCTTCTTCAGGATCAGCCTGCACAGAGAGGACAGCTCAGTGACATTTGGACTCATACTGACTCACTCTTTTATATTTTCACTTCAATGTTATCAACATGTAAACTGCTATAGAGTGCTGCATGAAGGAGTCTTAAAAAAGAGGAATTAGTCAGTATTTGCACTTCCGGTTCCCTCGTCTTGAAGTCAATGTTTTTTTTAAAGGTCTGTGGTTTACACAAGCTGAGGAGATTTTAACAGTTTTTTCTTATTCCTACAATATAAAATATATTAGTAAACACCCTGAATTAGTGAATCTAGAAGCTTTAACGTGTCTTAAAGAGTCTTAATGAGACAACTAAGCGTCCTCACTAGAACACTAGTCCTCCTTTAGCTTAGTGGTGGAGACGTGAAGTCATGTGACTGTGGTGGAGTTCTTTTATAGCCTCTCTGCTGGCGTCGTCCAGTTGCATTATCTAACTTCTCGTTTCATCTTTGCTGCACATTCCCACACTCTCAACACTGTTACACATTCATATTTTGGGACACAAAGCCCTGCAGAGTGTGACCTCACCGGGTCCTGACGGTCCTCTGGAGCAGACTGAGCAGGGTTTGAGGTCAGCACCTGGACGAAAAAGCACGGAACAGTTGAGTTAATGCATTTGTTGCCACGGTACAGAACAAGCAACACCTGTACAATGTAATACACAGAGTGTGTCACACAGTATCTGTGTATGTCGCTCCAGGTAGTACATGTAGTGGTGTCTAAACATCTTCAACTCTGCTTCAGTCCGGCTCATAAATCCTTCTCCTCTTGACAAAATGCAATCAAATAACAATAAATATTGTCACTACGAAGATGAAAGTGCTCAGTTTTTCCTTGTCAGAGAGACCTTGATTTAACTCTCTTGTTATTTTGGAGCCTGACATGTTGTTCATGGCCGGATCATCCGGATAATGAGGCGCTGGGACAAAATCTATTGTATAATATATATATATATATATATATATATATATATATATATAAAATATATGTTTTTTGACTCACAATTTTGTCATCCACCCGTGTTTGGTTTGCTGAAAAGACAGAAGAGAGACAGCTTTAGCTTCCACCGTGAAGGTTTATCAGCAGATCTTGTGGATGAAATCTGTCTCACCTCTAGTTTTAATGCATCTTACGACAATAACAACAACAACAATCAAGAGCGCTGCTAAACCCAGAGCCACACCGACGTACAGCCACCAGTCTGGAATGAAAGGGAAAACATTACACATTTTGCCTGCAGCTTTCTGTTATGTTCAATATCTAGAACAAACCATTTGTAGCAAAAGCTGCACCCATGAGTAATACGTCAGTCTGAGATTCTTACCATTGACATCCAAAACACAGGCTACATGATGGACACAAGATGTTTAGTCATTTTCTGTATCTTTGTTTTCAGATTCTGTTGTGTTTCTTCCTACTGGTGTACTTGTTCTATTGTTCTTGTTGTTGTTGGTTCAGTTGTTACTATTACTACTACTGCTACCTCAAGGTTAATCTGCATTAAATAAATAAGAAAGTGTCCTCTAACGACCTTGTCTTCTGCAAAATGATGCTCCCACTGCACTCTCAATTACGTTTTAAAGGGAAACAAGTGTGGTGAATGTTGGTAATTGGAAAATCACAAATCTAAAGACAAAACCCGCATTTTGGCCGTCGCCATCTTGGTTTTTGGAACCAGAAGTGACAGAAGAGGGTGGAGTTAAATACAACCGAATAATGAATAAGACATTTTTTGTCGACAAAAATGTTACAGTTAACTTTCAAGAAGTTAAAATAATTCACAGTGTAAAAGGGTTCAAACTGTAAACTGAGAACAGACAACTCCCACCAACTCACGTGTTGCTGTTATTGTGTCGTCAGCTGAACACATTAACACAACTCAACAAACTAAAGAACTTACAATACGTGAAAAAAGTGAACATGAGTGACTTTAAAATGTTCTCACCTGTTTTCTCACCTGAGGGAGAATTTCTGAAAGAAAACTGCTGCACTTTGTCACGATCTTTAACTTCACACTTAAATGAATTAAACCTCGATGTGTAAATGAAATGAGAAGTCAGAAACGTCAGAGAGGTGGAGCAGAAAGACTGTGATGTCTTAAAGTCTTTGTTGTCTTCTTCCACATCTTGACCCTGAAGCAGCCACTTCACTGTGTGTTCACATCCTTCATATGCCCACACAGAGCATCTTAACGTCACCTCATCATTGTCCTCGTGTTCAGTCACTGGAGAAGATGGAGACATTGTGAGAGAAAGAAGAGTAACTTCATCACTATAATCATGATTATTATAATGTTTCAGTATATTGTTCTGACAAGACAGTTTGAAAACATCATGATGTAAATACTCACTGGTGACAACAGACAGATGAACCACAGCATCTGGACCTAGAAGTCGTCCTGATCTTAACTGTCTGCAGCCATAACGAGCACCATCTTCATATGTGACATTCTTTATAACCAGAGAACATTTCTCTGAAACACTCAGTCTGTCTGATTTATCTTTGGCTCCTTCAACAATCTGCCCACCTCTAACCAGATCTACTACTGGTGGTGATCTTCCTAAATCACTGAAGATCCACGTAGTAGAGTCACAGTTCTCATGATCATCTATCACACTGTTACAAGGTAAAGAGACTTCATCTCCATCTCTGACAGTGACGTAGAGGAAAAGTTGTCCAGCTACAGGTTCTGGGGAGAGAAACGACTGAAATAAGAACCAGTTATTAATGTTCACAGTTATACTTTAGAAACAACAGATGATAACAAAAGTCTGTAAAATCTCTTTGTTAAAAACAAATAGATAACTCTGAGTTAAATTGACGTTAGATAATGAATCACACGAGTAGCATTGAAGTTTTGCATAGTTAGTGTAACTTATATACGTGATCTTTGTGTCCTTACCGGTGATCTGCAGCAGTAAGAAATACATTTGAATCCATCTGAATCCAACCATCGTGCTTCTGTCTCTCTGCTCTCACTCGCTCAACTGCCAACATCTTCCTAAAGAAATATACAGCACCCACTTCCTGTTATTAGTAGTTTGTCAACTTCCTCATAATGTCATCCTTTCCTCCTCTGATGTCAGTTGCTCTTTTTTCTTTTTTTAAACCAAGAGTGAAAACATACGCTTTCCTTCTTCTTATTTGTTCTGTGAATCAGTCAACACTCAAGACCTGGTGCAGCAGGAGAAGGAGAGTGCAAATGTGACCCCTTTAGGTCTAAGTTTACTTCTGTTTACAGTTATAATATGCAACAATTTCCCAAAAATGTATAGACTGATATACTAAAGAATCCCTCTCAATCCTCACTCTTGACCTGCTAGTGTGGTGTGTGAATCTGCAGAGACTCTGTATTTTCTCTTTTCTTTGTATTTTGTTGTGATCGGGACGTTTCTGGCCGTCAGCAAAGAGCATTTGGACCACGTGGAGTCTGAGAAATCAGATTGTGCAGCCCGTTCTCAATCCAGGGTCAAAACCACCGCTCAAGGAAACTCTTTAGCGTCCGATACAAAGAATGAAACAGGGTTGTTACATCGCTGTGTTTCTGTGTGTGTGTGTGTGTGTGTGTGTGTGTGTGTGTGTGTGTGTGTGTGTGTTTCTCCTGTCAGTCTCGTGCCTCGGGCTGCATTGATTGGAAATCCAGAACCTTCCTGCAGGTTCGCGTGGTGGTGTGGATGTGTGGATGTGTGGATGTGTGGAGGTGTGAATGTGTGGATGTGTGGATGTGTAGAGGTGTGGAGGTGTGGATGTGTGGTGGTGTGGATGTGTGGAGGTGTGGATGTGTGGAGGTGTGGAGGTGTGGATGTGTAGAGGTGTGGTGGTGTGGTGGTGTGGATGTGTGGTGGTGTGGTGGTGTGGTGGTGTGGATGTGTGGTGGTGTGGTGGTGTGGATGTGTAGAGGTGTGGTGGTGTGGTGGTGTGGATGTGTGGTGGTGTGGTGGTGTGGAGGTGTGGATGTGTGGTGGTGTGGTGGTGTGGAGGTGTGGAGATGTGGATGTGGTGAAGCTATCATTTATATTTATCCTTCTGAGTCACAGCTCTGTTCTCAGTAATGACGACAAAGTCTGAATGCCATGTTTATAAAAAGCAACCAATACTGTGAACACAGATCAAACCTTTGATCTCACGAATGTCACAACCCACTTCCTCTCAGTGTCTTTTTTGTTCAGCTCCAAGCAAACTAAACGTATTACATAATCAATTACAGGTGATATGAAATAAAATCTGATCAATCTTTAACTGTCAACACTGACACATTGTATTATTTGTTAATTAAATTTTTATTTTACACAAAACTTGATGAGAAAATACATGCAAAACACAAAGAATAACAGAATATAAACTCACTAACAAGCACCAGATCAGAGGCACCAGAGGTCCCTTTAAGTTCATGGTTTAACAGGCGAACATCCATCACTGAGCTCAACAAAGGGTCTGACAGCAAATTTGCAAAGAAGAATACATCATATATTACATGCATTTCATCATATATTTAAGGAACCAGCCATATGAATGTTGCACATCGTGCTACCAGTTAATGCACTACACCCCCATTTAGATAGAAAGACTATTTACAGCAATAAATCCTGAAAATGATCATTACAAATAATTACATGGTCACATGCTCACCTGAGAAACTGAAATGCAAAACTATATTTTAAAATCATAACATTAGAAATGTCAACAAGATGTAGCTGAGCGGCAAGTTTTTTGTCTTTTCCTCCATGTTGCAATAATAACATTTGGGTTATTTACACAAAAGTATCAATAAATATGAAATGCTCTCCAATTTTGCTGAATGGCTCAATACATATCAGCATCACAGTCATTATCAACGTAATGATGTGAGCCGCAGCTACGCTGTGGTCTCTTATTTATTTGGTTTGCTGACGGTAGTGTAGAGGTTGTTCAGCGGAGGCTCCAGCAGAAGAAGAAGAAGGCCGAGCTTTCACGGTGCAGTAGGTCACCGCATCCTCGGCATCATCATCATCATCATCATCATCATCTTTAACCCGGACCTGGGAAACGAGAGGGAAACGAGCACATGAAGGACTCAACACGACATCACGCGACTCAATTCAACACATTGTTATCCAACACGATGAAAGATGACGATGCAAAGCAGCGTCCCGACATTGAACAACACAAACGCAATAAAATGAATTATGAAATACAGAAAAACATACACAAACACAACATAACATTTGTGACGATGTTTCTTTAACTTTTTATCTGGTGCCATTTTCTGGTAAAAAAAAAGTAAATTTAAATTCTTCCCATCAGCCTCAGCTCTGATTTATGTTTAATGCTTCTAATCTCCAGGAGGATCATGTGATCGGTTGTGTGTGTGTGTGTGTGTGTGTGTGTGTGTGTGTGTGTGTGCGGCCATGAGTGTGTGAGTGAGTGTCTGTGTCTGTCCAGAACTACACCTGCTTTGCATCAGCATGTTACCATTGTCATTGTGAGCATGTTAGCATCATGGGTGTGGTTAGCATGGTGCGTTACGCAATTGGCTCAAAACGACACTTTGCTGCCTCACACGGCGGAACATTCCTGTTTCCTTCCAACACCAGCACGGCCAATCAGAGAGCTCACCTGGACTTTACTGTTGGTCTTCTTGGTGAAGCTGACGGAGGCGTAGGAAACACCTTCTTCAGGATCAGCCTGCACAGAGAGGACACCGTCATGGCTGCTCATTAGCATGAGTATTTTAGTTAAGTTGCATCACTTGACTTCTCTTTTTCTGTGTGGCAGAGGGAAGTTAGACTCTTGTAAGTGTGTCACTGCTACATGTCAGAGAACAAATATCCACCAGTGGTGGGTGTAACCGTACAGTAGAGTGTGTGATCTCACCATGTCCGGACTGGTTTCTGGAACAGGCGGAGTCACGGCATGGTTTAAGCTCAGGCCCTGCATAAATACAGTTACAGTAAATACAGTCTAGTTACAGTTTCCCATTCACATCAATGGTCACTTCTTTTAGAATAAACTGTGTGCCATGCTGTACATTTTATATATCTACTTCTTCTATCTCTCTCAAGCTAACAGATGATGGGTACAAGTGTGCTTGAGCATCTTCTGACCTTTGCTACTGCAACAGCAGCCCTGTCTCCTAACAATGATGTTCAGGGATTACGTTTGCTTTTGACGTTTCACAAATAAGTTTTAAATTTGTCCGTGGAAGTCTGCTTAGGGAGGCGGTCAGTAGTAATTTTGCAGTTGTTTTTGTTGTTAATTAATAACGTTACCACATGTTTCAAACAGTTTCACACCGACCGTCATCCAGGAGACGAAAGGTTCATCCTCGTTAAGTAAGAATGCAGTTTAGTTGTATGGGAACGTGGTTTTTGATTGACAGGGATGAACCGAGTCGTGTCAACACAATACAGTGAGGACTGTTAATCCTTTAAACTCACAATGCTTTCATCCATCCGTGTTCGGTTCCCTGAAAAGATGATGGAGAGTCGACTTTAGCTTCCATAAAGAAATTAAGTAAAATAAAATCCCAGTCTGTCAACATAACGCATAAGAATTTAAGTCATTTCTCACCTTTGGTTCTCTTCCATCTGATGAGTGCCACAGTGATTATCAAGAGAGCTACTAAGCCCACAGACCCGATGATGAGCCACACCCACCATTCTGCAGGGAGGATAACAACATTCAAAACATTTTGGCTTTTTGAAACATTCTTTGTGAAGTAAATCAGTCTCTGTCGGTACGTATAAGACACTGTTTACATTTACTGAATCTTTCAATACAGCAACTTTAACTAAATAATCAAAATGTATGCGATAAGATGTTGAAGTTTTTAATGATGTGAGTACTACATAAAAATAAAAGCTTAACTTATGTGTGCCACATTGTCTTGATTGTGGTTTGACAATATTCATCAACCTTTTATGAAACACTTTTAAAATGTGTTTTCTTTTATTATATTTGCAAAACCAAAATTCAACAGAGATTAAAAACTACCAGCAGCGAGGTTTGAGACTCAGACATCAGAGTGTTGGTCTGACATTCATACTTCATGCTTCATGAAGAGAGAAAGACGTAAGATGTTAAGTCTCTACCTGCTGTTGTTGGAGGGTCGTTTCTCTCCACTGATGTGCTTCCTTTTGATTTTGTGGAATATGATAAGAAAAAGCAAAACACAATAAATGGTGATAAAATACCGTCATGTTTACCATCTGAGACTAAATGAGAGGAAAATTATGTAATCTTATAACTTAGAAGAAACCGTACCTGTGTTCTCAAATGAGGACTGGGGGCCGGCTTTACACAGCAGCGTGTTTCCAGTCTGTCTGTCTGTCACGCTACACTTCAGTAACTCGTAATACTTTGACTTCTGATTAGGATGAAGAGTTTTAAATATCACAGTGGCTGAACAGTCACTCTGTGATGTCTCCACATCATTCTCATTCCCCTCATACAGCCACTTTACTGTGTGTTTACACCCAGTGTGTGTCAACACAGAGCAGGACAAGAAGACCGTATCATCGAATGTGTGTTCCATCACTGGTGAAGAAGTTCATAATGAGAGAAAGACAACAAGAGTAACATTAACTTCATCACAGTAATCTGAATTATTGTAATGTTTCAGTGTATTGACAGTTTGATCTGAAAACATTATGATGTAAATACTCACTGTTAATAACAGACAGAAGAACCGTAGCATCGTGACCTTGTTGTTTTCCTGCTTTGTACTGTCTGCAGGTGTAACGACCAAAATCTGCAGCTGTTACATTTCTTATAACCAGAGAACAGTCTGCTGTCAAACCCAGTCTGTTGGATTTATCTTTGGTGATCACATTATTATTAATCACCCCAAGTTTAATCAGCTCTGCTGCTGATTCACCAGAACGACTGAAAAGCCAAGTAGTACCGTTACATTTGTCTTGATGTTTTATCTCTTTGTTACAAGGCAAAGTGACGTCATCTCCAGCTCTGGTGATGAGGGAGGATGAGGTTTGTCCAGTTACTGCTGTTGAAGACATGAGGAAATATAAAAAATGTGTGATAAGAATAAAGCTTTTTAGTTTACAGTTATATGTGATGATGATATTAATAACAAACAATATCAAATGTCCTTTTACAAGAATCCACTCGACACAAACTTGGTCGTTTCACTTAAATCAAGTTCCTCAAATACCTTCAGTCACGTTTCTTTTAGTCGTGTATGTGTTTTATATTCTGACCTGTGAACTCAAGCAGCAGCAGCGTCACAAATAAAGTCATTTGAATCCGTCTGACTTCAACCATCGTGTGTCTCTGTCTCTTGTTCTCACGCCTTCAACTGTCAAAGCTTCTGACCGAGTGTTTCTTTAAGAGACGCAGCGTTTACTTCCTCTTATTAGTAAAGCAGCACTTCCTTATCCTGACGTGGAATCTTTTTTTATGTTCATGCAGAGAGATCAGCCTTTCATCTCTCTGAATGTCTTGTAGATAATAATCTAGATATCAATCTAGATATTTAAAAACAGCAAAAAACACACAACATGCAACAAGTTCATTGAGAGAAGCACCAGGTCAAAATGTGAACTTCTCTCACAGAAGCAATCTTAAGATGATCAGCTGAGAACTGAGTGTTGAAGCTGACTGAACGCCTTTACTCACCCTCCTAAACGACAGCACACTTCCTTTCTCTTGTGGTGTTTGGAGTCAGATGCGTCCCGTCTGTATTCACAGCCTGTGTTCTTTATATTGCCTTTGAAATGCTTTCCTAACTCTCTGTGCACAGGGATAGTATTTACATAACTAATTCTCATCACATTGAAAGTTCATGAGACCAGACTGAGGTTGTCTTATTTTACTGTGTGAATCATTAGAAACACTGATTTGAGTGATAAGAAGTTTTATCAGCAAACATTAGATTTAACAGTTTCAATCATTCAATACTTGATTTTGTGGCGATGATGTTTAAGACGTCCTGAAATGACGAGCAGGAGTTCTGAGGGAGTTGAGTTTAAATGTAAATGTCCAACAATGACCTTACAGAGTAACAAAACCATGATGATGTTTGACACACTCATAAACACATAAGTTAGTCAAACTCTACGCCCACCAGAACATGAAGCCCATGCTGCAATATGCTCATACTGGTTCATAGTGACGACACGTTAGTGCTTTGAGGAGTTTGTTCCTCATTGCAGCGTCTTGATATCTTCTTAGAACTGAAGAGGAAGTGTTCTGGTGAGAATGTGGGTAACAGCAGCAGCAGAGCTCTGGAGGTTTGACCCTCTAGTGAGGACATGAGACACATAAGAACTCAGCATCTTTGTTCCCTCAATATATGATCTTATTTATTTAAAGTTATTCTGGTGAAACCAGATGAAATCACACGGACTCAACAGAAACTCCTATGTATGACTAAAGGATTGTATCCACATGGCTCTCAACATGGTGACGTCTGATAAAACAATATTAAATCTCCTTTCTAAAAGAATCCACTCGACTCACCAAGTTCAACACAAACAGCAAACTTCGTTGTTTAACTTAAATCAAGTTTCTCAAATACTTTCAGTAACGTTTCTGTTAGTCGTGTATCTAAACAGCCCAGAAACACAGATGTGGTTGAATGTGGAGATTGAAGTCGAGCTCCACAGATGACGTGGAGCGAATATGTTGCTCTGCCGTTCGATAAGAGACAACTTCTCTCGTAGAACTGGCAGGAGGCTCATCTGCAGCCCTGCTGATGTGGCTGTTTGAATTAAGCTCACAGTTCATGACCTGACCAACGTTTCTGACTCGTTTGTTCGTGAACGCTGGCTGTTGACCTTTCCTTGACTTTAAATCAATTACTCAGTCATTTTTGGTTTAACTGGATGGAATTTGGTGCTTCTGGATATTTATAGTAAGATGTTTAGCTGTTTTGCAAAAACATAGCTAGTGTGAGCAAGTTTAGAAAGACGTTGTTTGGTCTTTTTTTGTTACCAACGGACACAACGTATTCTTTCTCTCGCAAATTAGATTCAAAACAAATTGGGAATGTGGCAGGAATTTCATCCAGAAACAACCTGGGCCACAAACATAAACAGGTCACGTCTCTGCTGAACAGTAACAACAGTGAGAATAGTTACAGCAAAGAACATTAACTTCCCAGTGTGAGGTGCATGGTACAGTTATACGAAACACAATCCTGGGATCAGACACCTGCCGCTGTCCGTGGTGCTGAAGTGGAGGATGACTTGTCTTGGAGTCACTTCACGTATTTAACTGTTTGAAAGTTATACATTTAAATACAATGCAGTTAGAATCATCGCACGGAGTAGACTTCTGAAAATGTTGCTTAAATTATGGTCAACAGGATTGTTACTGAACTTTGATATGTTTATGAAATTAACATTGTGTTGATTATTTAGTTGTTGTAATAAAGCATCAAATTGGCGATCTGGAGTTTTACTCTAGCGCCACCATGAGGTCCAAACTTGTGGTTTTGATTGAAACGTCTCAACTATTGGAAGAATTGTCAAATGAACACATTCATGTCCTCCTCCAGATAACTCTTATTGCCTTTGGTGATCCCTTAACTTTACATTTAGCGACATTATCAGGACAACATTGTTATTTGTCCAACACTTTGGTTTATAACTAAATACCTGCTAAACTAAGGACGTCTCAATCAGCCTCACTTGTGCTTTGTGCTAATGCGCTAACGTTAGCATGCTAAATGAAGATGATTAACATGGTCGACTCTATACAAGTACAGCTGCACAGAGCTGCTTGCATAGCTGTAAACTCTTGTTTTTAATCATTTAATGAGCAGTATCAGAAAGTCGGAGGTGAGATTTCACAGTGACCGGACAAAAGTCCTGTGAAACCGGAGGGAGGATGTAGGATGGAGACGAGCACAGACATAAGTCTGAGGAGGGCTATATAGATTTGGTAACGCTTCATCTTAAAGTTTGTTTAAGAAAGAACAAGAAAATGATGCAGTAATTACAAACCCAGGTAGAGTTTAGAGGGTTGATTTCTTAAATGAAGAGATAAAACAGATGCAGAGAAGCTTCACTTTTTGGAAAAAGTATTCTCCATATTTCTTGAATTGTACGATCGTCTGTTATTAACAACTATATTGTATACTGGCTAAAACACAGTTACTTTGACAAAAGGTTATGCAACAAATGGATTTCTACATTATCAAATTAAAAAAAGTTCCCATTGAAATCGTCTTGATTCTCTCTATATTTAACACCAGATGACATCGTCCTTCATAAGAACCAAACCCACCAAACTGCTTCAGTCACACTACCAATGAAACATACTGAGGTCTTTTGTCTGTCTGACTGTAACTGGATTGTTGTAGCTGGTGAGCGTTTGGGAGTTGGGAGTGATTTGACCTGGTGCAGCTGCAGGCGGTAACATCACCTCATTCAACAGTTTAATTAAACTCTGAAGGTTGACATAACCTATTCAGTCCCCTCCTCTCAGTTTGCTTGTTAGCACTGAACAGGACATACAGAGACATCTGAGAACATACATGTGATTCATCACTGAGCTCAACTAAATGCCTGACAACAAGTTCGTCAAATACAACCTTAACCTACCACCCCCCCCCTTCTGGACAAAGAGCGTTTTACAACAATACATCTGAGAAATGATGATAAAGACATTTCCTTCCACATCTCTCGTAGTTAGAGTTATATATCTCTTTGTTTCTAAATGAGATCCAAACTTCCCTTTGAACATCTTTTTAGTCTGTGGTCCTCTTGGGGCCCCTCCACATGCTATGGGGGTCATTGGTGGAAAAGTGATCCTACCTTTTAAGGGCATGTGTAGCTTTGGCCCTGTTTATACCCGCAGTAAGGTTTTCTCCTTGCTGCTCTGAGTGAATAGATGTAAGAGCTGAGACTGTGAGGAGATGAATAATGTGTTATTACTTTTACATGACATGATATATGTCTCTATGGCCATTTTCTGTAGGCTTTACGTACCAAACAATCAGTAGAAATGAATTGTTCGTTGGAGTCATTTCTTCCATTCCATGAGACACACAGACTTCTTCTCTAATGATCCCTTTTCCTTCACAAGTTTGCTTTCAAAATATTCCTTCGATGTAAAGTAGACCCAATGAGGCCATGTCCTCGACAATAACTTCTACATCCACCAATACCACCAATACATTCACAACAGTAGAAGGCAAACATGAAATCCTTATTAGTGGTTAAACCTTAGGACAACACATCACACGCAGGTTGTGCAACAGCTGCCAAATTGAAAGAAAACAAACCTGTTTTCAAACCATGTGTCCCTCCACTTGGGTTGTGCCTATTCTCAAGAGACTTATCCAGACAGTCACAAAGCTACAGACTCTGGGAGGAAGCTTATTTCATCAGTGCTGTCATAGCCTGTAGCAGAGCCAAGTGCAGACACAGACTAGGCGGTAATAAAAAGTAGAAGGTGTTCTTTCAGGGGATGATGGGTGGTGATATAGAGGGTGAGGGTGGGTGATTGGACAGAGAAAGGAAGGGCAGGCAGAGCGGGGTGAGAGCGTGGCAGGTAGTGGAATGCGTTGGCGAGGCAGACATGCTGGGGAACCAGAGAGGATGATCCACTGTAGGCACCGGAAGACAAGGAAAGTACAGGTAATTAAACAGTTGGAATGAACTCAGAATCTACAATACTGAGCGACTGCGAACACCTCACTACCACTGTGGTTGCAACAACGATGTGGCCATGAGTGGATGGAAAGCCGCGGTAGATATACTGTTGAATAAATGAGTAGATGGAATGCAGCTGGGTAGACTGGAACAGATGAGGTGAATGAGTAGTGAGCAGGAGGGAGCCGGGAGGACATCAGGTAGGAGCCACGCCCACAACACACACACACACACACACACACACACACACACACACACACACACAGACAGACAGGACACACAAGGGAAAAACCAGGCCGTGACAAGCGCAGTAGCAACTTCTCTTTGCTTTGCTTTTTGAAATATATTGACGATAGAAATGTGAAGTCGTAATTTGACTAACAACTGATGTACTGGAAGACTTTTTCTTTAAGAAAGCAGTAAAACTAAATAATGACTTCTTTTCGACAAATTGAAACAAGAAAACAACAACTTAGGATCAGATTTGTTTGAATAAATGCTGAGTCATCTTTCCCTGCAGGAATCTGGGATTACCATCAATCACTTCCATGATGACAACCTCATGATATCAGTTCTGAATCTGTTCAGTGCTGGTACTGACAATACAGCAATTACACTAAGATGGGGAGTTCTGCTCATGGCCAAGTATCCAAAAATACAAGGTAAGGCACAACTTTCACAGAAAGACATTCAGTCCAAGCCACAACATGTGGATAAATTGTCTTTGTGATACCAAAAGCTTTTGTATCTTCCAGACCAGGTCCAGGAGGAGCTGAACAGGGTGATAGGAAGTCGTGAAGTGCAGGCGGAGGACAGGAAGAACCTGCACTTCACCAACGCTGTCATCCATGAGACACAGAGACTAGTCAGCATTGCCCCAATGTCCCTTCCTCACAAAACTACCCAGGATGTGATCTTCCAGGGTCACTTCATCAAGAAGGTCCAACTGAATAAAACACATAATATCACTTTATACTCATCTTCATGCTCTAAAACAAATGTGACAATTGTTACATCGAGCAGGTATTTTCTGGGTGTGAGACATTTTAATGAGTTCTATAAGAATACTTTACCTACATGTAAAACTATTTCCAATGTTTGTATCGTCTACAGGGAACCGCAGTGATTCCTCTCTTGATATCTGTCCTGCATGATGAGAGTGAGTGGGAGAACCCACACAGCTTTCATCCTGCTCACTTCCTGGACAAAGATGAGAAGTTCATCAAGCGAGAAGCCTTCATGCCTTTTTCTGCAGGTTTGTGAGCTGAGGGGTAACTTTCTGTTAAGTCTTAGGCTTCAGGTCATCTGCAAGTAAACTTTCCTTTCTTCTCTCTTGCAGGTCGCAGAGCTTGTCCCGGAGAGAGTTTGGCCAGGATGGAGCTCTTCATCTTCTTCACCAGCCTCCTGCAGAACTTTCGTTTCACTCCTCCACCTGGAGTTTCAGAGGATGAACTGGATCTGACTCCACAATTACGCCTCGGTCTCAACCCATCACCTCATAAACTGTGTGCTGCCCCCCGAACATGAGCACGAGGGGGGCTTGAAAATTCAACACCAGGAGATGTAATTAAGAAAATGTATGTTGAATTGCTGCTCTAGAATCGCTCATGTCACAGCAATGGAACTTCTTCATTGGCTACTTACTATGTACACCTGCAGAGAAGAATCATCTTAAAAATATTACAACAATGTCTTTTTTTAACTTGAGATGCAAAATGGAAATTTTGATGTACTCAATAAACAAGACCTCAAGATATCTGACCTTTTGGGCATTAACTCTCGCTTCAAAATCAAAGCTACACATCATCCTGGTGCAACGCTATCTACTACAAATTAAGTTTATCTTAGGGTTAATATTAAAAACACTATCAATTTATTCCAAATGATCTAGTTCTTTCATTTCAAATCATAAAATTAAGTAGAGGACATATAATACTTCCCTCGATGTCCTTATGCAAAGGTCCGGGAAAATGAATAGAAAAACTAATGTCACTGAATTGCCCTGCAGCTTTATATTCACTTCATTCAGGGTGAAGTGATGCCAACCAAGAAAACCATGATATTATGTTCTTCTCATCTTCTAATGAGACATTTTTGTGCATGGACTATATTGTTGGTTATTATATTCCTCTCTGTTAACATCATTGTTGGGCAGCAAATTCAAGTTGTCGGATTCTGATTATATTTGGCTCTTACATTGTATATATTTACCTCTGAGATTGGACTTGAACGTGTACTGGGGTACAGTTGTTGAGTAGCCTGAATGTACTTAGTTACATTCCACCACTGCTAGGACAAGAACAGAATCCTGTTTATACGAGCACAGAACCCTTCATAGATCTAGCCTCTCCATTCTGCTCTCAAAGTGAGCCAGATTGATGCATCAAACTTTGAGATGAATCACGTTCTCTTGAGAGCCCCCCGACCCCCCTCGCAGGTTTAAGGTCCACCCACCATAGTCTCACAAAATTCTGTGGGAAACACTGCACTCTTTGTAAAAATTCCACACCGCTGACATGTTTTGTTTTGTTTTAGTAATGTGTTTAGTAAAGGCTCTGGAAGGAGCCATATTTTGTCAGTGCAGGACACTTTTTCTTTAAAAGTCATGGGGATGTTAGATCTGTTCCTCCAGTCCTCCAGCTCTGTCTCCCTGTTGGGGGCTCTGGTGGTCCTGCTACTCATCGCAGGAGGTCACAGTTTGACGAAACCAGCAGAATATCACAATTCTGCTGGATGACGAGAAGCCCAGATGCAATGCTGGACACGGAGATTCTTTCCATGACAATACATTGCATGGTTAACCTACCGCTGCTATGCTGATGACACTCAACAATTTCTTTCATTTCCCACCACTGAGACAGAATGCTTATTACATTAAGAAAGGAGCATCAAAGATAATGCAGGATTAAAGGTGACAGAGAACAAAGTTGAAACCTCAATGATGTTAAATCATCCGAGGTAAGTTAAAATACAAAAATAAAATGTGATCCAGTACAGTTTATCATTTACCAGGGTTTACAATCTCTAGTCAAAGGATAGATATGAGCAGGGTCACTTCATTAAGGTCAGACTCAAGGTATGAGGTAACTCCTCGACCTAGTTTCTGTCATACAGTATCTGTAGGTAACTGCTGCTGAAAGCTTTCCATTGCATCATTGTTTTTTGTTGAAACTGTTGCAGAAAATTTCATTTTGCACACTTTTGTTTGCGGTGCTGTTGAATTGCATTAAAGTCAGGATTTATTTTTCTCCTTTATTTGTTACCTTTTGCTAGATTAATGTATACATTGCTTTATTATCCCTCAGTCATTAGGTGCACTTAGGTGTAAGAATCAAATATGCATAATTGTGTAGAGGACGTCCTTTCGAGGCCAACACGCGAACACTTCCATGAGACTGGTGGGGGTTTTGGGAAAGGAGTGTACAGGCAAAAGTGAGAACATGCAGACTCCATGGGGAAAGTCCCAGCATCAATCAAACTGAAACACTTCACAGGGTTATAATTATAACCCACTGATATAGGCCTAACATAAATATATACGATGCAGCGAGGCATAATTGTGAATTCCACTGCATTTGTTGGCAAGTTGAGCCCTTCATAGCTGGTTGAGGAAGAGAAGGTTAACTCTGTACAGCATACGACACCCTGTGTCCTTGAACCATAGATAGTGCTGTTCAAACATAACCAACAGCCATAAGTCATTGAAATGATGCATTTTAATTTGACGGTTTTTATTATATACGTTAATTCTTGAGCCCATTTATCAGTTATTATTTTTCACTAGCTTTGTAATTACCAAGGCAAATAATCTAAACTAACTATTTGGCAGTACCTCCACGGCCCACCGGTGGGCTCTAAGGTAGATGTTGGACATGTTTCTGTGTAATGCGCTGAGCTAGTTCAAGCAAGCTTTGGTTGAATGCAGGTAAACAGTCCGTGTGTAGAGCAAAATGCAATCTCAGAGCCCATTAGATATTGTCTGATAATGATTTAGCTTTTTATTGCTTTAGCTTGTAAACCAGATACTCGTGAAACAACCCTGTCTCAAACGTTGTTTCTCATCTCCAATTCCAGTCGTATATCCAAACTTGCTAATCGGAGTGTTAACAATGAGCAATGCACGAAGAAATAAGTCTTCATAAGAGCCTGAATCCAAAACAAACAGACTGGATCGTGTTCAGTCAAACTTTAACCTGCTTGTCCCTTCAAACTCTGTACAGACTTTGTCCCTTGGCAACCTGAATATATTGCTTTTAAACTCTTTAACTCAAAAAACAATCAAACCCATTGGGGGCGTGAACTTTTCCATACTAGCCCCACCCTTAGGCTGGGCCATTTCTCTCACTGGCAGCTACAAGAGGCATATCTCACTACCCAAATGCTCACAGAGGCAAAGGCAGCAGGACAGGAAACTTATTGTATCAGTACACTGGCAAGGATACCTTTTCTTTTAAAGTCATGGGGATGTTAGATCTGTTCCTCCAGTCCTCCAGCTCTGTCTCCCTGTTGGGGGGTCTGGTGGTCCTGCTACTTGTCTACCTTGTCTCCTCTTTCAACTTTAGGTCCCAGGGGGAGAGGAAGGAACCTCCAGGACCAAAACCCCTTCCTATACTCGGGAACCTGCTGCTGCTTGACCTCAAGAGACCCTACAACACACTACAGAAGGTAAGGCAGTGCGTAAGAGTAGCTTCCTCATAGGGTGGTTTGTTGTTTCTGCTTGTTAGTCAGCTCTTTCATCCTGATTTCCTTCTCATGTGTGTGTCGTATATCAGAAAATGCCATGACATTATGCTGTTGTTCTTAGCTTTCCAAGAAATATGGATCAGTGTTCACCTTCTATATGGGACCCCAAAAAGTGGTGGTCCTGTCTGGATACAAGACGGTGAAGGAGGCACTCGTCAATCATGCTGATGAGTTTGGAGACAGACTTCCAATTCAAATTGCACTTGACTTAAATAAAGGACATGGTAAAGAAAGCTTTTCCCAAATACTTTCATATTTACAGCCTTTGCCCACAATGCGCACAATTTGTTACCATATTTTGCTGAACAATTTTTTCTCAGGGATTTTATGGTCAAATGGTGATTCGTGGAAAGAGATGAGGCGCTTTGCTTTGACGAACCTGAGAGACTTTGGGATGGGCAAGAGGGCTTCTGAGGACAAAATCATTGAGGAATGTCAGCACCTCATTGAAGTGTTTAAGAAATATAAAGGTAAATGTCTTATTACAACCAACAGCATGACATAACATTTCGTCAATCATCGTGATATTGATTTTTTCCCCCTTTTTACAGGAGAAGCTTTTGATACAACACAACCAGTGAACTACGCAGTCTCAAATATCATCTGCTCCATTGTGTATGGCAACAGATTTGAATATGATGATCCAGAGTTTACATCCCTGGTAGATCGAACAAACAGAAACATTGAACTTCTGGGCTCCCCGTCAATGGAGGTGTCATTTCATTTTTATTAAGCTTAGAGCTGTATTATTGTGAATTTACTATAAATAATACAGCTTACCTAAATTAAAGAAATAATATTACATACTGTTTATATATATATATATATGTTTTTATTGTCAACAGTTGTATAAGCTGTTCCCATGGATCGGTAGATGGATTGCTGACAAGCAGGAAATCGTGAAGTTGGCTACCGCCAACAGGGAGCAGAACTTACAGCTGTTCAGTCGTCTGAAGGAGACCCTCAACCCACAGATGTGCAGAGGCTTTGTGGACGCATTTCTAGTCCGAAAGCAAAGTCTGGAGGTTGGGAAATGTATCATCACCTATCAAAATTGCTATTATGGCCATTGCTATTAAGATGTGACAAAGGACCAGAAGTTTTTTCCAAAATCCAGTCCTACTGTAACGTAATAATGTAACGTATCAAAGTTTTGAATCATATTTGTTTGAATAACTGCACTGATTCATTCCCTGCAGGAATCTGGGAATACAAACAGTCATTTCCACAATGACAACCTTATGCAGACGGTTCTCAATCTCTTTGCTGCTGGCACTGACACAACAGCAACCACACTGAGATGGGGACTTCTGTTTATGGTCAAGAATCCAAAAATACAAGGCAAAGAGATAAAGTTCCCCACAATTTTCATACAACAAATCAACGAAAAATGAACCTTCATCAAAACTAAAACTTTTTCATCTTCCAGACCAGGTCCAGGAGGAGCTGAGCAGGGTGATAGGAAGTCATCAAGTGCAGGTTGAAGACAGGAAGAACCTGCCCTTCACCGATGCTGTCATCCATGAGACACAGAGACTGGGCAACATCGCCCCCATGGCACTTCCCCACAAAACAAGCCAAGACATCACTTTCCAGGGTCACTTCATCAAGAAGGTCAGACTGAAAGAATCGCGTAGTATGCAGGACCCAACCTGTCAATAAATATCATGACATAATGAAATAATAATATAAGCCTAAGCTGGTAAAATACGTTATTTTAATATTTTATTTATTTATGTGCCATTTTATTTTCTTAGGTGCATCTATTTGTATCCAAATGTATTTGGATACAAATTACAGGGAGATGATGGCTCATTACATTACAGTCATTTAGCAGATGCTTTTATCCAAAGCGACTTACAATAAGTGTATTCAACTAGTCACCAGAGGTCATAAGTGCATCTCCTTTTTTCTGAAATGTAAATAAAATAAATCAAGAAAATCAAGGAAGAAATTAAAGATTAAGAACTTTTTTTAAATACTTTTTTGATTGTAATTTTACAAAATGCGGAATAACCTTCAAAAATAACATCACACACAGTGAAACTAGTTAACAACCATGTTAACTTTCTCTCAATTTGTGTTCAACTTCTTCCTTTACAACCATGTGTATGCCTGGCCTGATGTATGCTTTCTTATCTTTTATACATCTGGTCCCTCGTCTCAACTGGCAAACATTAAAGTATTGATGTCTTTTCAAGCTAACTTTAATTCCGGGTTAAACTTTATCTGGATTATCTGAATTGTTTTATAATCAGTAACAATGACACCTAATTTTGCAGAGGCGGAGCTGTCTGGTGTTTTTTTTTAATCTCCTCTAACTTCTTTTCCTCACAGGTCCTGTTTGGTCCTCCATACACAGCTGCATGTCCGAGGACAAACTAAAACAATAATTCTGAATTTAATAATTCATTTCTGTGCTTTTGTAGTTTGAAAAGAATACTATTGCTTAAAATACAGAACACTTTTCAATTCATGTATTGTCCACAGGGAACCACAGTGATTCCTCTCTTGACATCTGTCCTGCATGATGAGAGTGAGTGGGAGAGGCCACACAGCTTTCATCCTGCTCACTTCCTGGACAAAGATGGGAAGTTTGTCAAGCGAGACGCCTTCATGCCTTTTTCTGCAGGTTGGTAAATGAATCTGTCTCTTCTTCATATTTGTATATTTTTGCAGGTGAATTGAACATTTTCATTCGTTCTCTCTCTTGCAGGTCGCAGAGTTTGTCCCGGAGAGAGTCTGGCCAGGATGGAGCTCTTCATCTTCTTCACCAGCCTCATGCAACACTTTCGTTTCACTCCTCCACCTGGAGTCTCAGAGGATGAACTGGATCTGACTCCACGCATGGGCCTCACCCGCAACCCTTCACCCCATAAACTGTGTGTTGTTCCCTGCATGTGAGCAGCTGCCTGCTTGGCCCACTTTCATTACTTCAACTCTGTTGCAATCAAGAGAGCAGATTCTAATTTGTACAGCGTTATTTCCCGTGTAGTGCAACAGCATTGAATATGTCCGACATCAATTATGTAATGAGCACATTGTCATTCATCAGACAAAGTACATGGTTCTCTCTACATCCATCCTGCCATTTCAAAATATTGGTAAAATGCTGAGCCATAAAAATAATTTGGCTCGACACCAGATTGACATTCAAGATTAATATTCAACAATCGAGCCAAAGATCAACTAAACAGAATTAAAGGCTGTCTTTTTGAAACTGTCAAGATACTGTCAGCCTTCTCAGAACTGTGTGCTGAACATGAGGAGGTGGAGGGCTTGAAGATTTAAAAAAGTACTTTAAAAGTACTGGAACACCAGTGATGTAATTCAGAAAACGTATGTTGAATTGCTGTAGAATCGCTCATGTTACACCAATGGAAACTCTTTATTGGCTGCTTCATGTGTCCGCCTGCAGAGAACAATCATCTTGAAACTATTACAAAAATGTAACTTGAGATGCAAAATAATAAACAAGACCTCAAGATGTCTGACCTTTGTGTAAAGTTGCCCAACAGAGCATTAAACCTGGAGGTGCTTACCTCATCCTAACTACTTTAACATCAAAGCTGCACATCTACGACAAATTAAGTTTATATGCCCCGACAGGTTTCTGACAAATGTGTTTCAAAAGAAGAAGAATGTCCCCTGTCAGTGGTTTTTTCCAGTCCATGAAGTGTTTCTTGGTCGTCAGAAGATGGTCGTGGTTAATGTGTATTATATAACTTTAAGGGAAATAATGTGCTGTTAGTTACATATTGATGCGTACGCTTCTTGTCTTTTGTCAGCTTGACGTTTTCAATGATTTACCAGACATTGCTGTTTTTGTTTTGTTTAAGTGTATTTGTCGGGGTCTTGTTTTTACTTTATTTGGCGGTGTAGCTGAAGATTGGAAAGGTGTGAGAATTAGAGAGCGGATCACCAAAGCACAAAGGGCCAGGGGTAGGACTCAAACCCAGGACTCAGCTTTATTACATGGGCGCACACTCTACCAGGAAGTGAGTCACTTTTACGTTTGACAAGCTAAACACACACAATGGAGAACGATTTCCATTTGAATCTCTTTACTGGATACCATAGATATGATAAAACAAAATTACAACAAAATAAAAATGCCTCAACTGGCAAAATAACATAAAAGACAGTAAGTCAGTC